TTTTTTAAGATTTTTTATGATAAATTTATTTTTTATTGGTGTTCAATTTGCCAACTTATAGAATAACACCCAGTGCTCATCCCGTCAAGTGCCCCCCTCAGTGCCCGCCACCCAGCATTCATGAGAGAGAGAGAGAGAGAGAGAGAGAGAGAGAGATAGAGGCAGAGACAGGCAGAGGGAGAAGCAGGCTCCATGCAGGGAACCTGATGTGGGACTCGTTCCCGGGACTCCAGGATCACACCCTGGGCTGAAGGTGGCACTAAACTGCTGAGCCACCTGGGCTGCCCAAGTTATCGTTTTAAAATGGAACCCAGTATTTCCATGTTCATGAGAGGCTTACCAAGTGCAATTTAGGTATTTATACACATTCTTCAGGGTAAAGGTAATCAGATGTTGATAGTTTGCCATGTATCATTTCTTTCAAAATTATTGTTGACTGGGGGTGAAAAAAAGCATGATAGTAATACCATGCCAGGAGGCCAGAGTATACATCCAGTGTGGATGTGGTTGTGTGTGCAAGTGCATATATGTGTGTGTACGTGCATGTGTATGTGTGTGACTGCATGAGAATCCTCAGGGCAATGGTAACCAAGTTCCAAATACTCCAATCTGTGACCCTTAAATGCCAGAGTGTTAACCAACAGATGGAAATAAGGAAGGAATTCATCTGCTGAAGGGGGAAGCAGGGTCATTCATGTGTCAGTATCAAGGTTACACAAAAGAGATACGTCATGACTGGGGCAGCCTGAGGGTTTCTATGGTAATTGTGTCCCACACCTGAGAGTGTGTTTACTCAATATGGTTGATTTTGGAATGCATGCTTCAGAAATAAAAAAAAAAAAAGTAATGTCAGGCACTTATTCTACAAAGATGCTACTGTGTTTCCTAACTGGTCTCCTACTTTTACTCTGTGGTTCAGGTGAGTGTCCAGAAAGCCCACCATAGCCCCTGTAAATGCTAATTAGCAAGTACATATCTCCCAGTGGAGTCTACATGAAAAGACAAATTTGAACGAACAGATGGACCTGGTATGTTCTTAGTGTAAGGACGACCATAAATATGACAAAGCTAAAGTTCCAAATACTCATTTTGTTACTACACAAAATATTTCTTTATTTCTTTTTTTTTTTTTTACATCACAGTTCATGCTGTGCGTGTATTTATTGAAGCATGGAACATTAGTGTCTATACTGGGGAGTTTATTCATTCATTGAGGTGAGGGGTATTTTTTTTTTTTTAGTTTCTTTTGTTATATCACCAAATTATCTTCCTGTCTCTACTTGAAAACTTCTAATTATTCCTACCATATGACTCTTCTCATTGTTACACAAAATAACTCTCTTTTCCTACTATTTGTCACAAATGCTAAGGGATAGTGAATGAGCAGTATCAGTATCATCCATTTTGTTCCTATTTTTTCTCAGAAATCCTTCCCCCTGCTTGACCAGAGGATGTTTCACACAAGAGCTGGACGTCTTGGGATCCCTGGGTGGCGCAGCAGTTTGGCGCCTGCCTTTGGCCCAGGGCGCGATCCTGGAGACCCGGGATCAAATCCCACGTCAGGTTCCCAGTGCATGGAGCCTGCTTCTCCCTCTGCCTATGTCTCTGCTTCTCTCTCTCTCTCTCTCTCTCTCTCTGTGACTATCATAAATAAATAAAAATTTAAAAAAAAGAGCTGGACGTCTTCCCGGTCACGTGGTTCAAGGTCACCAGTTCTTCTGCACAAATATGCATGTCCTTCAAGTTCTTCAGTGACCTAGAAGGGAGTACACATATAGTCACTTGTTCATAAAGTCATGGGAATTAAGCTTGAATAAGAGAATGATCATGACTTCCCTCCTCATTTGTAGATCATATGCCACAGATAAAAAGCAGCACATGTTCTAATTGCCTCATGGATGTTTATTTGAATTATTGTGTCAGTCATATCTTGCTGTGTAACAGGTTGTCCTTGGCAAGTAGGGTATCATCATGGTGTGGGTGGCCAAGCACGATGGTCAAGAAAGAATTCTTGACACTTTTTTTTTGGTACAAATGGTGCTTTTATTATAGCATGGGGACAGGAATTGTTGGCAGAAATTGCTTGCACTGGGATTTTGAGAAGTGACTGATTCTATACTTTCAAGTTTGTGGAAGGAGGTTGATAAAGATAATGTATCTAAGGAATTAAAGGAGATACCCTAAAATGAAGAGACAGAGTGCACATGAAAGTTTCCATTTGTGCATAAATTAAGACCGCATAATTTAATTTAAGACTGCTCATTAAAGAGTGGTCCATTAATGTCTCCTGGGAGGGTGTGAGAAATGCAGAATCTCTGGGCCACTCAAAACCTGTGATCAGATTCTGCTTTTGTAGTGGGATCCATGTGGATTCACAGGCACATTGATCCTGGTCCAGGTGGGTTTCTCACCTTTTATGGTTGACATTTGTGGCAGGATAATAATATTTTAGAGGTGCTTTCCTTTGGATTGTAGGTGTTCAGCAGCATCCCTTCAGACATTGCCTGACATCCCTTGGGGCAAATTCATTTCCTGTTGAAAACCACTGACCCAGAGCTTGAGAACTAGAAGTATCCTGACAAAAAAATACTCAAGGCCCACCACATAGTCATATATTAAATGTAGACATTTAGACAGTGCCAAGCACCATTTCTACAACAGAGTTCAAAAGTGTGCCTCCTCAGAGATAACATGTTTATAAATACTGAATAAACAATCCCTAGAGATGCAAGCTCACATAATACATAGAAAGATCTAAACACTTCTGTTCTTATCATCAACCATTTTATTTATTTTTTAAAAAAAATATTGATTTATTTGAGACAGAGCACATATGAGCAGAGGGGAGGGGCAGAGGGAGAGGGAGAAACAGACTCCCCACTGTCAGAGAGTCCAATGTGGGGCTCCATTCCAGGACCCTCAGATCATGACCTGAGAAAAAGGTAGATGCTTAACCAACTGAGCCACCTAGGTACCCCTTCAACATTCAAGTTCACCCACTCAAGTTTTATAACAAGGGGATAAAGGGCAGTTTTAATTCTTGATAAAGTAAGAAATTCCTAATTATAACAGCAAATGTGTCTTGAAGTCAATGCGTATAGTGGCCAAGCTTTATTATCAGAAGAACCCACTTCTCCACCTTACTGAAAAGAAGAATAGATCCTGTCTGGAGATAGCAGGGCTGGGTCTCCACCACATGTCAATGCTTTGAAGATAAAAAGACCTAATCCAGCCAAGTTCTTGGGTCTTAGACTTGGAGAAAATTATAACTCAGAGTTGGGATAAGGTACTAGGAGATTCACACATGGAAGGGGTCACGGCCAGGGAAAATGAGTTAAAAAAGTAAAACAAAACTAGATTCACTTGACCTTTAACCTAGTCTTTTGGGACCTGAGATTCATTAGGAAAACGTCCCTTTTGCCCAGAGGACTTTCACTTGGGAATTGTGTGCGTAGAAGTTGGAGTCACAAGAAGGAAATGTGCCTAATGAGCAGATACAAGGAGCTGTAATATGTCCTCATCTCCTGTACCTCAGCCCCTATAACCTTGGACAGTAAGGGCCATTCTTCTCATCTCTTTGTTTCAAGTCCTATTTCTGCTGGGGGCCAATGCTTCACTCCTTCCTTCTGCCTTGGCTGAGGACAGACCTTTAGTCCCTATCATCTGCCATGCAGGAAGGAAGTCACACTTCCACAAGGTGACCTTCCTTTCAAACACCCAGTCAGGTGAGTCCAACATGCCAGTGGATTGTGGATGAGAGGGTCAGTGAGAATGGAAGCTGAAAACATGGACCTGAGAGCCAGTTCAACTTAGCCCAGAACCAGTAATCACTGTGTTGTTGTTTGTCTTGATTAAGTAGCTAATTCATCTATTCAGTGCTGGTGTCAATTTCGCAGAGTGCCTGCTGCTCACACTTTGTTTTATTTTATTTTATTTTATTTTAATTTTATTTTACTTTGGATCATTTGGTTATTTTTTTATATTTTTTATTGGAGTTCGATTTGCCAACATATAGTATAACATCCAGTGTTCATCCTGGCAAGTGCCTCCCTGAGTGCCTGTCACCCAGTCACCCCCTCCCCCCGCCCACCTCCCCTTCCACTACCCCTTGTTTGTTTCCCAGGGTTAGGTGTCTCTCATGTTTTGTCACCCTTTCTGATATTTCCCACTTATTTTCTCTCCTTTCCCCTATAATCCCTTTCACTATTTTTTTATATTCCCCGTATGAGTGAAACCATATAATGTTTGTCCTTCTCTAACTGACTGACTTCCGTCAGCATAGCTCACACTTTTAAAAGTCTTTCATATTCTTTATCATTAAGTTGCGATTATACCAATGTTAGAAAAAGTAAGTTGAGATTTTTAAGCTCAATGTGCAGTTCTAATTGGGTGGGATTTTATCCTCTGGGGGTCATTGATAACTGTCTGGAGCCAGCTTTGCCTCCACACTGCTTATATATTCCTTCTCCATCACTGCAGACTTTTTGTTCTTTAGTACCCTATGCTCTTTGCTTACATAATGCCTGAAACATAGTCAGCACTCAGTTTATATTCCTGAAATATATAAAGAATTTCTCAGTGAAACTATAAAAATATGGTGTTTTAAGAAATAAGCCATTTGAAAAAACATATCTGATACGACACAGCCAATCCCCTAAAGAGGACCATATCCGGGGATCCCTGGGTGGCGCAGCGGTTTGGCGCCTGCCTTTGGCCCAGGGCGCGATCCTGGAGACCCGGGATCGAATCCCACATCGGGCTCCCGGTGCATGGAGCCTGCTTCTCCCTCTGCCTATGTCTCTGCCCCCCCCCTCTCTGTGACTATCATAAATAAATAAAAATTAAAAAAGAGGACCATATCCATATACTATATATATATATATATATATATATATATATATATATATATCTAGTAACATTTCAAATCTGTAAGTAATGCAAGTTTGTGTGAAAATCAGTCATGCTATTTCTCTTTCCCAGAAGTCACTTCCATCCACCAAATGGAACCAGGAAATTATACACAAATTTCAGAATTCCTTCTTCTGGGATTATTAGAAGAACCAGAACTGCAGCCCCTCCTATTTGGGCTTTTCCTCTCCATGTACCTCATCACTGTCTTTGGAAACTTGCTCATCATCTTGTCTGTTGGTTCTGACTCTCACCTCCACACCCCTATGTACTTCTTCCTTGCCAACCTGTCTTTTGTAGACATCTGTTTCACTTCCACCACCATCCCCAAGATGCTTCAGAACACCCAGACTCAGAGCAAAGTCATCACCTACAAGGGTTGCATTACGCAGATTTATTTTCTCATAGTCTTTGCCGTGTTGGATGTCCTTCTCTTGAGTGTGATGGCCTATGACCGCTATGTGGCCATCTGTTACCCTCTGCACTACACGGTCATCATGAATCCCCGGCTCTGTGGTCTGCTTGTTCTGGTGTCCTGGATCATGTGTATCTTGAACTCCTTGTTACAAAGTTTAATGATGTTGCGGCTTTCCTTCTGTACACACTTCCAAATCCCCCACTTTTTCTGTGAACTCAATCAGATGATCCAACTTGCCTGTTCTGACACCTTTCTTAATAACTTGGTGATGTATTTTGCAGCTGTCTTGCTGGCTGGTGGTCCCTTCATTGGGATCCTTTACTCTTACTCTAAGATAGTTTCCTCCATACTTGGGATCTCATCAGCTCAGGGAAAGTATAAAGCATTTTCCACCTGTGCATCCCACCTCTCGGTTGTCTGTTTATTTTATTGTACAATGCTTGGTGTGTACCTTAGCTCTGCTGCTACCCACAGCTCTCACTCAAGTGCAGTGGCCTCAGTGATGTACACAGTGATCACACCCATGCTGAATCCCTTCATCTACAGCCTGAGGAACAGAGACATAAAGAGGGCTCTGAAAGCATTCTATGTGAAGGAGACTCCACATGGCCAATTGTCAAAAGACTGAAGAAGTGGCTGAGACTTCAGAGATCAAAGCCTCTGAGTCAGAAATGAATTGTATTCATATTGTATGACAAGTATTCCTCTTTCTGTTGATTTCCTTGTCTTCAACTTCTCTATGCCATGTATGTAATTCTATTAAGCTCTGCTCTCTCTGATATACTACTGTTTTCCTTTGTATTTCCCACTTTCTGAAATTTATTTCCAACTATGGATCTGAAATATTTGGAAATTTCATTTACCTGAGACAACAGACATGTTTTATAAGTTTTTAAAATTTATTTGTGTATGTGTGAGAGAGAACACTGATAGCGAGATGGGCAGAGGGAGGGAAAGGGACAAGCAAACTCCCTGCTGAGCATGGAGAAGGACTTAATTCCAGGACCCCAAGATCATGATATGAGCCAAAGTCAGATGCTTAACTGATCTCGCCACCCAGGTCACCCAACATAGATTTTCTTTTAAGAATGAAAGGGAGACAGAACATAAAGACTCCTAACTCTGGGAAACGAACTAGGGGTGGTGAAAGGGGAGGAGGGCAGGGGGGTGGGGGTCAATGGGTGACAGGCACTGAGGGGGGCATTTGACAGGATGAGCACTGGGTGTTATTCTGTATGTTGGCAAATTGAACACCAATAAAAAATAAATTTATTACTTAAAAAAATAATCTTTCTCAAATGACAATTTCATACCAAATAATTTTTGCTTTCTTTTTTTTACTACAAAAATTGTCATGAGTGATACTACATCTATGGAATAAACTACAATTTATGGCCAATTTATATGATTTTATAGTAGAGGAAAATATGAGATTTTTTTCATTTTTATGTGTGACATTCCTTTGTATATCAGTATTTTAACTGCCCTTCTTGATAGTGGATACTTAACATATCTGTGTGTTTTTTGGTGTTCACACAGCTTTATTCTCATTAGAATCCTGTTTTCTTTCAGCTTGTTGTCTGCAATGTATACCTTAGTCACTACCTTAGTCAAAATATTCATCAAACACATGTCTCTAAAAGAAGCCTTCACTGAATGACAAATTTTAATAAATAGATTGACTTAGAATATGACCTTGGAACAGATGACTTTTAATATGATAAAGCAAAAAATTTAATTTACACATTGTGCTCTTCTAAATATTGATTCTTCATGCTATATGCCCATTCATTGAAGTATGGAGAGTTGGTGCCCATTTTTAAGGCGGATTACACATACAAGGAAAGGACTGAGTGGCAATTTCCTATTTTTATTGAGTCATGTACTTGTTTTGATCTGAAATATTTCAGTGGTGCCTATGGTATGTCTCCTTTCATTGTAATAATGGAAACATACCTCCCTTCCTTCTGGATTTTGCTGTAACTATGAAAGGGATGGTGAATGATCATTATCATTATCATCCATTATACATGTCTATCATGCTTAGGATTCTATTTATCTCTCATGGTCAAAGAATGACTCAAGAGAGAGCTTGCATTCCTGTCTGGTCATGTGAATCAGGGTCACCAGTATTTCTCCACAAACATGTGTATCTCTTTAACCTTACCTGGTAACTGGAAAATGAATTTCAATGAGTTTTAAATGCAGTTGTCTGATTTACACTGAAATAACAGAGAAGCCATGAATACTGCCTTTAGTAAGTATAAGAAGAAATGCCAAGAAGAATCACCAATAGCTTGTGATAAATGTCCTCATTTTTTCCAAATTTTTATTTAAATTCCAGTTAGTTAACCATACAGTGCAATATGGGTTTCAGGAGTAGAATTCAGTGGTTCATCACTTATATACAATACCCAGTGCTCATCCCAACAAGTGCCTTCCTGATACTCATCACTCATCTAGCCCATCCTCTACTCACCTCCAACCATCAACCCTCAGTTTGTTCTTGTCTCTTATGGTTTGTTTCCCTCACTTGCTCGTTTTCTCTCTCTTTTTCTACCCCCCCCCATAATCTCATCTGTTTTGTTTCCTAAATTCTACATATGAGTGAAATCATATGGTATTTGCCTTCCTCTGACTTATTTTGCTTAGCATAATACACTCTAGCTACATCTGTCATTACAAATGGCAAGATTTTGTTCTTTTTGATGGCTGAGTAATATTCCAGTGTGTGTGTGTGTGTGTGTGTGTGTGTGTGTGTGTGTGTGTGTTTATAGATATACCACATCTTTATCCATTCTTCTGTCAATAGACATTTGGGCTCTCTCCATAGACTGGCTTTTGTTGATTATGCTTCTGTAAACATTGGAGTACATGGACCCCTTCCAACCTGTATGAGATGAGATGAGAGTGGACATCCCTGTCATGTTCCTGACTTAGAGGAAAAGCTCTCAGTTTTTCCCCATTGAGGATGATATTAGCTCTGCTCTTTCATATATGTCCTTTATGATGTTGGTGTATATTCCATCTATCCCTTTGTTGATGGTTTTTATCAAGAAAGGAAACTATTTTGTCAATTGTTTTTTCTGCAGCTACTGAGAGAATCATTTGGTAACTTTTTTGTTTAAATCATGTTGTTTTGGGGCTTTTAAAAAATTTAAATCCAATTAATTAACATATAGTGTTATTCATTTCAAAGGTAGAGTTCAGTGATTCATCAGTTGCATATAATACCCAGTTCTCACTACATCATGTGCCTTCTTTAATGTCCATCACCGTTACCCCATCCTCCAGACTCCCCACCAGCAACTCTCAGTTTATTTCTTATGATTAAGAGTCTCTTATGGTTTGTCTCCCTCTCTGATTTCATCTTATTTTTCCTTCCCTTCCCCTATGCTGCTCTGTTTTGTTCCTTAAATTCTACATATGAGTGAAATCATATGAGAATTGTCTTTCTCTGATTATTTCACTTAGCATAATACCTCTAATTCCATCCACCTTGTTGCAAATGGAAATATTTCATTTTTTTGATGGCTGAGTAGAATTCTATTATTTATATTTACCACATGTTCTTTATCCATTCATCTGTCAATGGACATCTGGTCCCTTTCCATAGGTTGGCTATTATGGGCATTGCTGCCATAAAAATTGGGATGCATCTGTCCTACTGTACTTTTGGTTTCTTTTTCATTGATTTCTGCTCTAATCCTTATTAATTATCCTCTCTTGCTTGGTTGAGGCTTTATTTGCTGTTCTTTCTCCAGCTCCTTCAGGTGTATGATTAGGTTGTGTATTTGAAACTTCTATTGTTTCTTGAGTAAGTCTGTATTGCGATGTATTTCCTTCTTAGGAATGCCTTTGCTGCATCCCAAAGGTTTTAAAAAGTTGTGTTTTCAGGCAGCCCTGGTGGCACAGCGGTTTAGCGCCGCCTGCAGACTAGGGCATGATCCTGGAGACCCTGAATCGAGTCCCATGCCAAGCTCTCTGCATGGTGCCTGCTTCTCCCTCTGCCTGTGTCTCTGCCTCTCTCTCTGTGTGTCTCTATGAATGAATGAATGAATGAATAAATAAATAAATAAATAAGCTTTAAAAAATAAAAAGTTGTGTTTTCCTTTTCATTTGTTTCTATGAATTTTTAATTCCTTTTTATGAACACATTAAAAAATCAATTTGCCAACATATAATACATTACATCATTAGTTTCAGATGTAGTTTTCACTAATTCATCAGTTGCATATAACACCCAGTACTCATCACATAATATACCCTCTTTAGTGTCCACCACTCAGTTACCCCATACTCCCTACACATTTCCCCTTCAGCAACTGTCAGTTTGTTTCCCAGAGTTAAGAGTCTCTCGTGATTTGACTTCCTTTCTGATTTTCCACTCATATATGTAATATAAGAAGCAATGCAAGAGATCATAAGGAAGGAGGGGAACCTGAAGGATAAATTTTTTAAAATTCTTCTTTAATTTCCTAATTGACTTATTCATTCTTTAGCAGGAGGTTCTTTGAGCTCCAAGGATTTGCATTCCTTCCAAATTTCCTCTTGTGATCGAGTTCAAGATTCAAAGTATTGTGGTCAGAAAATATGCAGGGAATGATCCCAATCTTTTGGTGCCAGTTGAGGTCTTGTTTCTGACCCAGTATATGATTTATTTTGGAGAATGTTCCATGTGCACTCAAGAAGAATGTGTATTCTGTTGCTTTAGGATGGAATGCCCTAAATATATCTGTGATGTTCACCTGGTCCAGTGTGTCATTCAAAGTCCATGTTTCCTTGTTGATCTTCTACTTTGAAAATGTGGTCATGCTGTGAGTAGGGTGTTAGAGTCCCCTACTATTATTGTAGTATTATCAAAGTGTTTCTTTAATTTTGTTATTGTTTGGTTTATATAATTGGTTGATCCAAAGCTAGGAGCATAAATATTTATAATTGTTAGATATTCTTGTTGGATAGACCCTTTAAATAGGATATAGTGTCACTTTTAATCTCTTATTGCAGTCTTTGGTTTAAAATAAAATTTTTCTGAGATAAAGATTGCTACACCAGCTTTCTTTTGAGGTCTATTAACATGATAAATTGTTTTTCACCCCTTCACCTTCAAACTGGACATACCTTTGGGTCTAAAATGGGTTTGTAGGCAGCATATGGATGGGTCTCACTTTTTTATCCAATATGATACCCTGCGTCTTTTGAGAGGAGTATTTACTCCATTTACACTCAGAATAACTATTGAAAGATATGAATTTAGTGCCATTGTATTACCTGTAAAGTCCCTGTTTCTGTAGATTGTCTTTGTTCTATTCTAGTCTATGTTATTTTTGGGTTGCCTCTTCACTTAAAGGACCCCCTTTAATATTTCTTGCAGGCTGGTTTAGCAATCACAAATTCTTTTAGTTTCTGCTTGTCCTGGAGGCTTTTTGTCTCCTTCTTTTTTTGAATGATAGCCTTACTGGATAAAGTATCTTGGATGCATATTTTTCTCATTTAGCACCTTGAATATATCATGCCAGTCCCTTCTAGCCTTCCAGGACTCTGTGGATAGGTCTGCTGCCAGTCTAATGTTTCTACCCTAGTAAGTTAAAGACCTCTTGTCTTGGAGGGCACTTGATGGGATTAGCA